GAGAGAGAGAGAGAAAGAGAGAGAGAGAGAGAGAAAATAGAGAAACGCCCGGAGAAATGGAGAAACAGCGAGAACGAAAGAGATCAAAAAGAGAAAGAAACAGAGAAAAAGAAAGAGAAAAAAAGAGAAATAAGAAAAAAAGAAAGAACAAAAGAATACAATCGCAACAACGTGCTAGAGCACTGTACGAAAGGATCAAAACTAAATGTATTTATATATATATATATATATCCCCTTTTAGCAATATTAAGTATAATACAATGAGAAGATAATATTTTTATCTGAATAGAGATCTCTTTATTAAATCGTCATCTCAAAGAACATAAAAAAAGCATATTGAAAAGGCAGCTATTTTTACTCTGGGGATTAATATATTTTTAACATTTGATCAGTATTTATAATAAAATAACATTGGGCCGTAATTCTTTACACTTACGTTTATTATTTATGGTAATCCAAATAATTCATGTATTTATAATGATTATTTATTTTACGAAAAATATTTACTATTAGTTAATAAAAATATTCAACAAATAAATAGAAAAAGAAAGAGAGAGAGAGAGAGAGAGAGAGAGAGAGAGAGAGAGAAAGAGAGAGAGAAGAACATTTAAAATCACTCTGTAAATTTGATATCTAAAGAAAAACAAAGAAAAGAAAAAAAAAAAGAAAAAAAAGAACCAATAAGTCAATAAAATTAATTAACATAAAATAATTGCACCTGACAAAATATATGATTTTATATACACGTGTGTATATATACTTATATATATATATATAAATTAAATAATCTCAGTCGACATTAAAAAAAAAAAAAAAAAAATAAAAAAAATAAAAAAAATAAAAAAAAAATAAAAAAAATAAAAAGAAAATAAAAAAAAAACAGGAATCAATTTTCGAACGATTATGGTTTCATTGTTGAATTTCATTGATAGACTCCACAAAAATAGCTACTAAAAAAGATTCCGTTACAATCAAAGACTTATATAGCGTTAACAGTGCCTAGGTCAAGCGCGGAAGTTGCGTAGTAGTATCTTCTATCTCCCTCCATACACGCACATCATTAGTTATTTATTTATTTTTTCCTTTATTTTTTTTTTTTAAATTATGTATAAGCCTCGGTCAAATTCATTTCTTATCGAATTTTGTCAAAATTAATTCTTTTCGACGAACTACTGCCATTTCTTTCGATTTTTTCATATTCCCCTACCCTCCACCCCACCTCTTGACATTAGTGACCAAATCACATGCCCTATTTGCCCCATCATAGATATACGCCTCTGATTACAACAATAATTTACATTTTGATAGAGATAACCGGCAAACTTATAGTACGCATATATATATATATATATATATATATATGTATATATTTGATGATGTACTTACATACATATCTAATTCCTGGACGATATCGTTGACGATGTCGATGTCCACGTCAATGTCCACGTCGATGTCCACGTCGATGTTCACTTTCACTTTTGTTTTTATTTATCACTTTCTGCTTTACAGGACACTGTTAAACTTCTCAATCTATGTAAATCGCGCGCGTAAAGTTCCGCACGTGAGTTCGACGTTACTGTTAAAAAAAATATCACGTATGTATGTATAATAACATACGAATAGTTCGATCGTAATTTGTTCTCTTTAAAAGGCTTTATCTTATTATACCAACTTAACAATGGATTCATTATTAATATATGTATGTAAAAAGAGATAAGCAAAATATTGATTAGCAGTATCCACGATACGATCGTCCACGCGAAACCGGTAGTAGACATATTATTCGTGTTTCGATTATCGAAACGAACCCTCGTAAATTCGATAATCGTATTTTCTAACGATCGAATTGCGTATATATATGTGTATGTGTGTGTGTGTGTATAGATATATATATATATATATGTTCATATGATATATAAATACAAATGAGAATGAGATTTATGATAACGAAAATACTAATGTTAAAAAAATAAATAAATAAATGAATATATAAAATGTATATAAAATGTACATAAAATTTGTTATTCTGTGACTGCCATTTGTCTAACATTTCGCATTTGAAAGAAATTAATAGAAACTAAAAAACATGAAGTATTTAGAAAAAAAAATGATAAATGCATTGAATATAGTATGAAATATATAATTAATAATAATAAATATATAGAATGTAACATCTCAGATATTTGAACATAACCTCCGCAATGATGTCCGAGGTTGATGTTTTTGTCAGTAATTATACTCTCGTCGATCCTGAAATTTATCAACTTTGGGTTGATGGGCACTCTTGTAAGTCTTTCATTTATTATATTTTTATAATACGTACCAATGTTTTCAAATACTTTACCAATATTTCTTTAATAGCCAGCGATGCAGTTATCACCTTACAACAACGTGGTATTTGTATACAAACTAATGCTCCTCTAGATTTAGTTGCTTCCGATGTCCTTGATCATTATCGTACATATGCTTTGTTGGAAAAGTTACTTCATACTCCTACAAAACTTGCAACAGAACAACTGGCATTTCAAATAGAACCTCAAACTAGTCAAATGCTCATTGAAATGTAAGAATGTGATTTTTTTGTTTACTTATCTATCATAGAATAGAAATTGTTTTATTATGAATGCAGGTATTATGAATTTGATGATATTGTTGTTCGAGAACTATTAGGTAAAAAGTTAACATCAAAAAGTAGAAAAGATATGGATGAAGTATCTGAAAAGACTGGAGTTACCTTAAAAAGCTGTCGTAGACAGTATGATAATGTCAAAAGAGTTTTCAAAGTCGTTGAAGATTTACCTGGCTCTCTGGTTGCTAACATCAAACAACATTTTTTACTTTCTGAAGATCTTGCTAAGTATATAGAGTTTAATTTTATCTTTAACAATATTATTTTTAATAGGATTTTATACATATATATATATATATATATGTGTGTATAAATATTTCCAGACGTTATGCAGCAGTAGTATTCATAGCTTGTCTTAGATTTGAAATGAATAAAAGGAAATTGCAATTTCTAACATTTCCCGATTTGTATCATTGTGCTAATAGTATGATGGCAGCATGGACTTATCGATGTGTTGGATCAGAATATTTTGATACAGATCTTGACAGAGAATTCTTGGTAGAACTTGCAGAATGTAGAGTATTATTAGAAAATGATAAACATCATAAACAGTAAGTTATAACATGATTATTATACGAAATATATATTAACTATTCTAATGTAAATGTAAATAAATATGTTTTTTAGTTTAGTGTGTATCAAACTTAAACCAATGTTACTTGAACGTTCATACCAAGAGCTTGATACAAATTTCCGTTCTTATTCAAGAGCTATCTTAGGAATAGGCTGTAATCTACATAGATCTAGAGAATTAAGATTTTTTTTTTTAGAATTGGTTGAAAGATGTATAGAGCCATGGAAACAAGTCAGTTGGTCACATACCGATCTTAGAAATTTCTTATCTGTGTATATGCAATGTGCATTGGATATGGATGTGTTAAGGTATTTATATTTATCATTGAACTTTCTCCAAATGCAAAACTTTTCTATAATAGAAAAATACTTCTTTTTCCAGAGAAATTGAAATTAGAGATGCATTTGAACGTTATATGACAGTTGTAACATGTTGCTTATTACGTATGTATCACACATGACCACTAACAACCAACACAGATATAACAAACAAAATAAATGTGATAAATATTTAAACATATAAAAAATACAAAAGCGAAAGACAAATTAGTAATATGTATATAATAATTTATTACTCCTTTGTAATAAATAAGCAAATGCAGCATGTTAATGTGGTTTTTTTTTATATCAATGGTCTACAACAAGAGTTTAGCATATTTTTGCGTTATAACTAAACTCATTAAACGAAGGCAATTTTTAATTTCAAATATGGCAGTATATTGGTATTTCTCATATTTACAAACATATAATAAAAGTCTTCAGACGATACTTCTACATGTAAAAAAGAAATAAAAAGAAACTGCAAAGCATAATTTAAATATAATAGCACAATTTAACATTGAAGTATACATCCCATTCAATAAATAATATATTATCCTACAATTGATTTTATAAATATTTAATATATAATCGTATTTTTCAAGAATATATTATAATGTGTATATCATTCATTGTTTAAATATTTAGTGAAACCTTATGCATATTTATATAAAGATTGTATAATTTAACCCCTGTAATCATTAAATTAATGTGATATTTAATTTTGTTTAAGATCTATATTTTGAACATTGAAAAAAATGTTCGTTAAATTGATTTTTCACTGAAGTATTGTTCTATTTGTTGTCTAGCTTTGTACTTATTATACGTATTTGTTTACGCATAGAAATTTTAAAGTAAGGAAACACTAAAAGTTGAATATAAAGGAAAAGGAAAAAATAAAAGGATATTAATTGTACCTAAATATTTCTACCATTTACTACTCTACCCCTAATAATTTATTTACAACAAATACTACATCGCTTCCTTGAGGTAAAGCTGCTATTTCCAAACTTTTAGCATATGGCATAGGAACATCAGCACCTGTAACACGAATTACTGGTGCATCTAGATGATAAAAGGCCTCACCTGTAAAGATAAAAAGAAAAAAAGCTTTATCAGTATACATCAAATATTAGATATCAATTAAGATTAAATGTAGAAATGGAAAATGAAACTTACTTTCAGAGATTCTTGCACTAATTTCTGCTCCTATGCCACATTGCGGCCAACCCTGTTCTACAGTAACACAATGATTTGTTTTCACTATAGATTGCACAATAGTATCAATATCTAGTGGTCTAAGGGAACGAAGATTGATTACTTCTGCTTCTATCCCTTTTCCAGCAAGTTCATTAGCTGCTTCAAGAGCTTGTTCAACAGCCTTGGAATGTGCCACTAAAGTAACATGATTTCCAACACGTTCTATTTTTGCTTTACCAATAGGTAGAAGGAAATTTTTATCCAAAGCTTGATCTGACATAGGATACTGAACTCCATAGAGAATCTCATTTTCCAATACAACAACTGGATCAGGATCTCTTATAGCAGCTTTTAATAAACCTTTTGCATCTTCGCTATTATAAGGCGAAACCACTTTTAAGCCAGGACAATGACTATACCAAGCACCAAAACACTGAGAATGTTGAGCTGCTACACCTGCAGCCGCACCATTTGGACCACGAAAGACAATAGGTATATTAACCTTTCCCGCAGACATATAAAAGGTTTTAGCAGCAGAATTAATTATTTGATCGATTGCTTGCATAGCAAAATTGAAAGTCATAAATTCGCAAATTGGTCGGAGGCCAGCCTATCAAATTTAATTAGAATCAAATGAAAATGAAAACTATCTTATGATTGTACAAATCGTACAAGATAATTACTTACCATTGCAGCACCAACAGCAATGCCAGCAAAACCAGCCTCTGTGATCGGTGTATCAATGACACGTTTATCACCATATTTTTTCCAGAGACCCCTAGAAACCTTGTATGCTCCATCATAAAGCGCTACTTCCTCTCCAAGTAAAAACACTTTCTCATCTCTTTCCATCTCTTCATCCAGGGCAGAATTTAAAGCATCTCGTACGGTCATCTATAGAGACATGATTATGTAAATCCTTTAATATAACTTAATAAATGAAAATGTTTGAGTATAAAGCTAACATATCAGTTATAACATTCTAAGGAATCTAAGGAGTTTTTTATCAGCGCAAAATGAATGTTAAATTGTTGGAAATAAAAATGCGTGACCTTCTCCGTCCTTGAACAAGCAATACTATTAGATAATCATTATTCACATAAATATCGAGTTTCCAAGGTATTATTGTTAGAATTATTATTGAAAAAAATCTTACAATCAAAATCGCTATCATTTTAATGATATACGAGATATCTTTAAGCGTAAAACTATCTTAAACGTAAATTAAAGGTTATGTTTTAACAATATGTAAAATATAAAATATATAATAAACCTGTTGTGCTGGCGCACATTTTGATGTTGAAAACGATCGTCGTGCGATCCCTCTCAAAGCAGTCTGAAAAAAAAAAAAGAAAAAAGGGCACAATGATTAGTGAAATACTTTCGTTATTCAAATAGCTGACGTCAAATGTTTCTTACTACTTGAATCATGTGTGCCTTGTCGAAGTCTTGTATTTACCGTAAGCATTATTAGGCCTTCTAAATGGAACAAATGAGCTCGAGTGGGACAGCACTAACTATTGTCACGATCGTTATACGTTGCTCTTACACCTCGTGCCTTCCGTCGGGGGTCTCTAAATCAGGATTCCAATTATTTTTTCACCATCACCAGAAATATGAACGTAATACATGTATTAATGAAGTCAAGGTCGCAATGGGGCTGATTCTTATGAAATACTTAAATGTGTTCGTAAAATGATTACCAATAATCATTGATTGTTAAGAACATGCGAGGAATCGTTTTTGATTCCAACATGTGTAATCAAAAGTTACTAATTCTGACCCTAAACTAACTTTTTTCAAAGATAAAAGAAAGTGTCCACTCTATTTAATACTATTATTTTTTTGCTACATTTCATGCTTGAATTTATAAAAATTCAATATGATGCTTTGTCGCTAATCTTATAAAAACATAGTTCGTGTGTCGTATAGATTTCCTAACCTAAAAAGAGCATTATGTACAATATTATGTATAAAACATCGTGAGCATCAATAATATTATAATCTCTATCATGACAGAACAAGGTATAAAATTAGTATATATTTGATTATTAAAGATTAATATTTTCTTGATTTGATCATACTTAACATAATCATTACAATTTTATGTCATTTTTAGATTTCTTTCTGCATGTAAAACCCTTCTATATATGTGTAATGACAGTTTCGGAATATCTATATTATTATTAAGATTATTATATTTTATTTATATATAGAATAATTATTTTTAATTGTTTTTATTTTATTCTTGACAGAAGTAATGCCAGACATTGAAATGGACGAAACTAGTGATGTGGATAGTGGTGATGATTGGAGTGAAACTAATGAGGATGTTCAAACTATTATATGTCTTTTTTGTAAGGATACTACAGATGGTATGACAAATGCATTGAAGCATCTTGAAGTGCTTCATAATTTTGCTTTAAGAAATTTTATAACAAAACATTCTCTTGACTCATATTCGTATATAAAGTTAATCAATTTCATTCGTCAAAAGAACATTCAACCAGAACAATTAAATACTTTATGTATAAAAGATTGGCAGGACGATGAATATTTATATCCTGTTATAGAAGACGATCCATTGTTAATGTACGGTAAGTTATTATAAAAAATCTATAATGTTAGTATGCTATTGGCTAATTGTATATTAAAATCAAAATTAATGTATAGCAGTCATTTGTAATTTGATCTGTAAAATTGTAACTCTATTATATATCTGTTTATATGTTTCAATGTGATATAGTAGCATCATATGCAGTGCGCTGTGTATAGTTGACGTATTAATATTACACAAGCAATAAACAGTGTATCTGCCAACATTTCAATGTTAATTAATCAATCATAGATTTGATATAATGTATTATATGTATAGGAAAATGATGCATGCAATGTTATACAAATATGTACCAAATTACGTTATATAAATTCGACATAATTCTGATATTAATTGGCATAATATCAGGTGAGATTAACAATGTTAATAAAATGGATAGTTCTCAGAACATGCTTCTATGTGTACTGCTACTAATAAGTGAAAAATATTGGATAATTTAATTGTTTTTACGCGATGCTAGTACGTATGTTTATTGCTAATATGCTAAACACAATATTTCTTAAATAATTTTTTCATTAATTCTTACAAATATTAAATTTACACTGAATAATTTCGAGTGGTAACGTTTTGCGCGACGTGTGCATGTACACATATACATGCATATGTGTCTGTACAAATATTTTTTTTTTCTTCTTCAAGATATCGAAGATTTAGAAAACAAACCTGTAAACACTATTAGTTACACTGTAAATTCAGAAAATGGGTGCGTTACTTTATCGGAAGTACATTTTGCTGAACTGCAAAGGACCATTCAGACACTTAAAGCACAACTAGAACAACGTGAATTAGCATGCTTTTTAGCTAAACAGGTATCAAGATGTGATCATTGTATTGTATATCATTTTTTTTTATCGTGCTAGATATATTCTTATAAAGAGATTTAAGTTAATATATTAATATAATTTCAGCAAGTAAATGAAATGATAGAAAAAGCACAAAAATTAGTTTTGGATGATGAACAAGAAAACATAGAGAAAATAACTGATAAAAAGCGTGCTTCACGTACAGATGAGGGATATTTTAATACATATAGTCATTTTGCCATTCATCATGAAATGTTAACAGTATGTATATATATATATATATTTTATATAATTTATATTATATTATATTTTATATAAAGTATCTTAAATATAAGATATATATAAATATATATAATATATAAATGTCAAATATTTTTTTGTATAGGATAAAATACGAACAGAAAGTTATCGTGATGCATTGTTTACAAATTCCATTAGATTTAGCAATTGTATAATGTTGGATGTAGGTTGTGGGACAGGTATCCTGTCTATGTTTGCAGCAAAGTCTGGTTGTCGTAAAGTTATCAGTGTTGATCAGTCTGATGTAATATATCATGCTATGGATATTGTAAGGTATCTTTAAAGGATAAAAATAAAATATAAATTTTATTTTTTTACGTCCATAAAATATTGGATAAAAATTTAAACATGTGTTGATCTTAATTTCATATCTATTGCAGAGAGAACAATTTAGATAACATTATTACATTAAAAAAAGGTCGCTTAGAAGACATTACACTTGAAGAAGAAAAAGTAGATGCAATTATTTCTGAATGGATGGGATATTTTTTATTATTTGAAGGAATGTTAGACACAGTCATTTATGCAAGGGATCATTATTTAGTTGCTAATGGTATATTAATGCCAAATAGATGTTCAATGAGTATAGTTGGAAGTGGAGATACACGTAAGTAGTACAGTATTATTTTTAATTGATATTTATTTTCCTAATATTTTTTGCATTTGTACAAGCAATTAAGAGAGATAAATTAATTTTTAGAAAGATATGTAGATTTGATTGATTATTGGTCCAATGTTTATGGTTTTAAAATGAGCTGTATGAAAGCTGAAGTTTTGAGAGAACCAAGCATAGAAATTTGTAGGTCTGAATATATTATAACTACTGCTGCCGAGATTCAGACATTTGACTTATATACAGTGTCTACGGATTGTGTAAACTTCTCAGCACCTTTTAACTTAATTGTAAAGAAGACTGGATCATTGACTGCAATAATTGGTTACTTTGATGTATTTTTTGATTTAGAAAATTCAGTCAGTTTTAGTACTGGTCCAAATGCTTCACCGACGCATTGGAAACAAACAGTATTTTCTTTAAAAGAACCTATTAGCATAACTGAAGGTAAGATCAAAATTGATATAAATATTTCTAACATTATAAACTGCAATATTAGAAAAGGAATAATATAAAATCATTGTTATAGGTGAAGTTTTAAGTGGTAAATTGGTATGTCGCAGGCATATCAAAGATGTTCGTGGTTTGATCATTACCATCCACATCAAAGATTTTAGTCAAGTTTATTATATGGATTAGATATAATATATGCTTTTGCATTACAAGTCTATTAAAAAATTTGTATCTTTATCAAATTAATATTCTTAGTATATTTATCCAACTTTTTTTCTTGTTTTTTTTTTTTTTTCCTTTTTTTTCCTTTTTTTCAGTTTTTAATATATGCATATAATAACAAAAATAATGATGTTTAGATATCATTTAGGAGTCACTGCCATCTTAGAATATGTTTTGAAACTTTTGTTTTAAACAATTTATACATTCCATTATGGATTGTATTGCCATGTAAAATAATTTCATATATATTAGAAAAGGATAATTCTATTTAATTTTATTAATTCTGCAATTAAGAGAAAGAAAAATTTTATTCTCATAACACTATACGCTTAAACAAAAAATAGTCATCCAATTAAACTAGTTTCGTCATAAACACAATTAAATATTCTTCTAGAATAACAGAATCAAGAAAACCAAATTAACGAAAAAGAGTGGCCTTAGTTTTTCATTAGATATATTAATTAGATTACAGTTTAAATAACAGTTCTACAAATAATATATATATAAACTATTAATATATTAAGCATCGCTTAATTCTACCACCTTATATGCCTTAGCTTTATTCTCGTGGACCATTATTTTTTCGAACTATTATACATTTGCTATAATGTTACTTTTAGTAATTGTAACAATAAAATAATATTATTGCAAAGATTAAGTAAGGTAGAATTAAAATAAAGTATTTTTTAATAGCATTTAACATATAATAAAATTTGCACGAAAACTTTTAGATCTATTTCAATATCTTCTTTCATGCAAATTGTTAGGTAACATACTATTTAAAAAATATTACATACCTATCTATAAAATTAATAATTCATTTAAATAACAATATTATATTCTATTACAAATATTAAAATTTAGCAAACAAAATTTAATTAAATAAATCAAAGTTACTACATAGTATACATTACTTTAGGCACATGAAACAATTAATATGATCTTATTACTTTAAACTACGCTACAATTTTTCTTCAACGAAATTAGAATGATATATATATATATGTATATATATAAAATAATAATAATAATAATAATAATAATTCTGGAAAATATTATTTAATAGAAGTTATTAATATTCGATAATTATTAAATAAAATGGAAAGATTAAGAATAGATCAAGAATCTGTAATTAAACTTGTATTTCATTATTACTGCTTAAATATACATATTATGTGCTGTTATTCTATAATTTAATATCGAGACAACTCTGTAAAATATATTTCTTGACATACATCTTATATATCAGAATACAAGAAAAAAAGAACAAAAAAAAAATAAATATAATTTTCAAGATTTTTAGATCTTTTTATTCTTTTTTTATTCTTTTTATGCTTATTCTAGAAATATTATACTTTTTCACCTTTTATAATTTGATAACATAACCTTAACTAAATTTAGATGTTTACAGTTTCAGCTTAAAAGCAAGTATAATGAAAAAACAGAAAGTAAATATATAATTATAAGTGTAATGTATATTTATTGTTTGTATAAACAGTGCCAGGATTCTGTAATATTTGCAAACTTCATATACAATATATCCATAAACGCAATTTTAAAGCGAACTATCTCATTTTAATAGTAAGTACCTGTACGTTAAGAAATATAGTATAATAACTAATATTTTATATTTGAATTTATAATATAAGCATTTCTCACAAAGAAAGAGAGAGGGGAAAAGAGAAAGAGAGAGAGATAGAGAGAGGAGAAAGAAAGAAATCTTGAAAGGAAATTCAAAGATATAAAATATAAATTTTGTTTTATACTTATTTACTCATTTATTGCATATCATGAAGAACTATCTCTCAGTTCATTATTAGTAAATTTACCTGAGAATATCTTTTAATCACCTGTTTGATTACACATGTGTGATTATATTCATTATACTTGTTTCTATGCCTATACTACTATTCAAGGTTTCATTTAATCCTAAGGAAACGTTAATGCTAATTGTATATATAGATACTGTGCTTTTCAATTCACATATTATTTAATGTTATATATAGTCTTCCGAATTTTAAATCTTAAATACTTATATTATATTACAAATTTTTAATATGATTGTTATATTTAATGAATAAAAAATTAGGAAGGCATATCTAATATGAAATATGAGATAGATTTGTCAATATGGAACTTCACATTTTAAATTAATATTTCATACACACAATGTATATACTATATAGCCTCAAGCATCATTTTTAATACTAAGTACAAAAGTCTCACAGGTTTACTTTTAATAAAAAAATAAAAAGAAAAACAAGGTAGTATTTTCAATGGCTATAAATACAAGTGCATAATTTTGTATTAGTATTAAAGTTCAAGGATACAAAAATTACTGTTTCTATTTGCAAATGTCTCTTTATAGATATATCAACATATGAGCTTATATCTCTATAACATTAGTAATATTTATGTATATGTATTGATTAATATTGATTAATTGTTATAATATATATATATATATTTTTGTTTATATTTTTCACACAAGTATATATATACTTCAGTCAATATTAATCAACGTTTGCTCAAAGTCATATTACATTTCCTTTTATTTACAATTCCTGTTTTCAATTTTTATGTAAGGATCATCTTTTGCAAAGATGATGTTATGTATTAAAACGATATTAACTAAATTTGTTGTAAGAATTAAAAATTGGAACATTTGTTTCAATAAAAATTATGACTTTGCCTGGATAATTGTAATAATATCAGTTTGAATGTAAAAAAATAACTAATATATATTTTGATTTATGAGATATGCTTAATCAGTTGAAACTGATTCTATTAACATATAACTATTAAGGTTCAACAACTATAACAAAATAAAAATAAAAGTAAAATTCTATTCTTAAAAATCACTCTCTAAAGTTTGATTGACACATATTATTTATAATTATTATTTGACAAATCATTGTGTGTCTTTGTAATCAACAATCAAGTCTCTATAAAATTGATAGAAGCCTTTGAGATCATTAAAATAATAGGAAAGGAATTTCAAACAAGTTGTACATTTAAGAAGTTCCATTGACTTCATATTTTCAATTAATTCCATTTTTCATGCAGCCATTAATAATCTATACTGTAATATTATACATATTACATATCACAATAATTTATCTTCGTTAAATTTCCAATGTAGGAAGATGTTTGTATGTTTACGTTAAAGAATATATTATATAGTAAACTGCACTCTTACATATTAATTATGAATTTATATATCATATAAAACAAAACAAATCTAATAGTTTTAGCGGAATTTGTTAAAGTAATTAAATTGTATGCTTATAACTTAAACGAGTAAGCATACTGCAAAAAATATCGATGAAATAAATTTTGATGATATAAATTTAAAAATATTTTGAAATACTTCATCTGAGTAACAAATGCTTATATATTTAATACTATTGTATTTTATCATAAAAATGGAATTATATTTATAAAGATAATATTTTAAAGATTACAACTAATTTCAATTCAACAATATTTTCTATTCAATATATCAAAGATGTGATTATATTATAAAGAATATTTTGTGACAATTTGTAAAAAATTAATATAATGGAATTTTTATAAAGATTAAGTCATTTAAACGTGTTTAGTTTTACTATTTTTGCATCATGTTATAGCATATGTACTAAACATGAATATCACTTTAACAATTTATTATAAATATGTGCTATAAGTATTATATCTTGTACTTTGATCATTTTTTTTTTTATATAATAAATCATTTTCAACTATTTATTATTTGAAACTTCATTATTTACCTTGAAATATTTTAAAAACACTGTTTAAATTAGAATTTTATTTCACATCAATTATGTTTTATTAATATGCAAATAATTATTTTTATGAATCGTAATTACTTTGCGGAACAATTCAAATAAATACCTTTATAACTACATAATTGTTTACATACTTAAAGAATGTTCTTATAACGTTAGGAATAAAAAAAAAAAAAAATATATATATATATATATATATATATATATATATGTAATAAAAGAACATGTTCCATTCACTTACGCTAATAAACTTCATTTTTGCCCAGTGATATAATGGAGTGAAATGTAATTGTATATGTTCAGTTCAGAAATATTTTTCACTTGTATTGTAAACAATATTATCATCATTACTCATATTCTTACGTTTTATTTAATCTTATTAATTTTATAGATGTGGTAGTCTATCAACTTCACCCATTTCAGTAAAAGTTTCATCATCCATTGTATAACTCAACATAAATTTTAGAGATACCGATTCCTAAAATAATTTAAAAATGTAATTATATAACTTAGTCATGTGCAAAATAAATGTTCATAAGTTATCATAGTATATTACCTTAAGAGGATTTGCAATTAACATAATTTGTGTAATTGCTGACGGTGGAAGAAATGGATTATGTGCTGGTAATTCTGTACCAGAAGGAGGTTGAAGTCTGCACTTACATTTCTTTACATAAATAAATAATAACAAAATATATTATAAAAAATAGAATTATATATTAGAATAAGAAACAGTTGAATTTTTATCATATCATTGTTTTACCTTAGGTACTACTGCTTGAAACAAATAATTGCTAAGCGGTTTAGTATTTTTACTCATTGTTGTAACTACTATTACAGAAACATCTGGTCTTGGACTGTCTTGTGCGAAATGAAGTACTACTGTAATACCATTTTTATCTTCTATTACTGTTATAGGAGGATTTGTACCTATGTTAACAGATATAATTTATCTGCATTTATAATGTAAATACATACATTAATAGATTTTAAATATTTCTATATACCTGGTTTAATATCTTGAAGATTTACATTAATATCAGTTAAAGGCTTGATTGCTGGTTCAGAATTAACAGTTAATGCTGGCACGTCACTTACTTTCATCAATGTGTTTTCTTCATCTGTTTCAATGTTTTTACTTTTGTTACGAGATTGTGATATATCGACTAATGTATCATCACCATTAAGAAAATTTGTAGATATAGAATCACTTTTCACTTTTTCATTTTCATTTTTAATTGATTTGTCTACTATATTGTGCTGTGTCATATTATTATTTGTAGAAGTTAAACCTATTGAATTGTGATGATCAAATTTAGGTTGGAATTTTGCGACATGAGCTAAAGCCATTTTTCTATAATAAACAAAATATAAAGATTATAATATAAAAAAGTTATATTAAAAAAAACTTAAAAAAATATTAATTTTATTATTAATTAATTATTGTCACTAACTTTCCATCCAAAGATGACTCTTTTGCCATTTTATATGACAAGCTCTGTTTAAGGAGAGATTCCCCTAACTCATTTAATTCTTCTAATGCTCTGGCTTTACTATCCATTTTTTTTACAGATGTATCAACGTTATCATCAACTTTAACAAAATAAAATGATAATACTTATACTTCATAAAATATTTAGTTATAATCGTTTAATAAATATACATACTTTTCTTTCCATTTTGTTGAACATTTATTGGATCCATTATCATTGGCTCTGGCATTAAAATATTTGTATCGGTAGTTAAAGAGAAATCCATTGGCTTTCCTAAAGAATTGAAAATATCTCCAAGAACTTCCATATCCGACTGTGAATTTGTTGCCGTTGTATTATTAGTTTTATCTGTATTTGTATTCAAAGTACATTCAGAAATAGCAGCATCAATTGGAGAAGACAAATCCAATAATGATGGATCATTATTAATATTCGTTTTAGTAACTTTTTGGCCAAGTATTATCACAGCAGTATATTTATCAAATACTTCACCCAATGCATCATTCGCTGCGAGTACGTCACCTAATATATCAAATGTATAATATTTATATCTTATATTTTATATAAAAAATAATGTAAAAACAATTTCTCATTATTATATATAAATATAGTTATAAATTGTATAAAATGCTGAACAATTGAATCAATATTATTGAATATATTATTATTTTTAAAAATAATGATATATTTACCAAGCATTTCTTCATTGTCCTGAGTTTCATTAGCTAATCTTAACACAGTGGGTTTTAAACGTTCACATGCTTGATGAAGTTCTTTCATTAATTCAATATCTTCAGGACTTGTTTCATTTTGATTGTATGAATCTAACATTTCAGATAATAATTTAACATTATTATGAACTGATTCCAATTCCATGATCCTTCGTGAATTCAATTGTACTCTTCTTTCGTCCTACAACAAAATATAAATTGATATATTTGAAGAGAAAACAAAACAAAAGTATAGACGCCGCATGTTTTTATTTACCTCTTTTACCATAGTTTTAATCAATCTATTTGCAGCTTGTAAATCGCCAGGATTTTTACTTTGTAACAATTTCTGCAACAACTTTGATTTTTCCTCGTCCTCGAATATCGTATTTTTTGCTTTTGGTATTTTAAAGACTTCATCTGTATTACTAACAATAGGTACTGAATCCTCCTATAGTTTTATATTGTCTTAATCTTTAGACATTTCATTATTTCATAAGAACATTTTAAATATATAATTAATATGACCAACCTCTACGACTCCTTGCTTTCTAAGCATTTCATAGGCCTCCTTAATTTTTGATTCTCGTGGATACTCTTTCGTCCATAAGTACAAAAGTTGTAATACTTTTCGACGTACAGCCACAGGAGTTTTATTACCTAAATATTTTGGCGAGACAAGTCTTATCATTTCGTTCAAAAAGCGAAACTTTCCAACTTCTGCATGGAAATTTGGTCCGCATCTTCTCATACAAGTATCTAGTAACTGTATTAAAATAAAATAAACATATAAAATAAATTGTTTAGAGGAAAACTGAAATCAATAATAAAAATATACCTACTGTAAGAGCTTGAAGAGCTTCAAATTCATTAGATGATTGAATATGTGTTGCTAATAATTTACTGCCTATTTGAATACCTTCCGTTTCCTTCATAACCATAACACAGAATGCTTCAATGGCTGCTATATCAGATTTTTGATTTTGTGGATTTGTAGCTCTTTCTATAAGATATATTTAATATATTTTATAATATATCTTTTTTACAAATAACTAAATGTTATGCAAATTGAAATATAATAATAATAAATAAAATAGATAGAAGATTTAAATAGTATAAAACAATTCTTGTAATTATATAAAAATTTATTTTGAAAAATAAAATAATTCTTTAGTACTTACGTATCAAAGCTTCGAGACTGGTTGTTACAACATCCATTTTTATTAGTTTGTTTACTCGATTAAATTTGTTACTATACAAATATCTCAATGACAGATAAAATAATACAACCATGTCATCTTGATTCACTTGCCGAATAATCTTTTTTCGCCTTTCAAACAGAGACTTTAAGTATGTAGTATGGTAAGTTATTATCGATTGTATATTTCTTTTATTCTTCAATACTCTGTCATATCAATAAAGAAATAGTTAGAATTTCAATAATATTCTTTTCTTATTTCTATTGTATAGCCATTGTCGATAATACTTTAGTAAACAGCTGTTCTATCACCGAATCAAAGATCGCTAGAGATAGAAAAATTACAAAAAGCAGAGCAGCTAATGTAAACGTCAAAAATATTACTACGACACAAACCACATCGACACGCTATACACGCATATAAATACACGCATTCAAATACCCCAACAATTTTAATTCAATTACATATAAAACCATTTGTTATTAACTCTCTCAAAAATTGCTTAACCTTACATATTGTATTCTCTAATAAATATTATTTTTTAATCGACAATCGTAAACTAAAAATTAGAAATTATTTCATATTAGTAGTTCATATTCAAGTTTCTAGTACATTCAAAGTTAAATAACAAACGTATACCAACATAAAAACATCATAGGAGTTTTGGATAAATATGAAAATAAATAGGAATTTAAAATTTAACTTACCAAAATTCTTTAAACGACGATCGGTAAAGTGTATAGAAATTTTTCAAAAAATTTGGACATGAAAGGAAACAGTATAGATCAACATATTTTGTTAAGATAGTACATAAATAATATAAAAAATTTTAGCTTTCACTTTCTGCCTTTATATAAAAGTTATTATATATTCACTTAATACGAAATAAAAGCTTAAATTTTAAAGAATTTGGAAAATTATTGAAATTTATAAATTATTATAATTGTTGTTTAAAAAATACTCCCTAGATTTGTACTCTTGTTTAACGAGGAAATATGATCAACAAGGATGATACAATTTTTGTATACAAATTTTATAGCTTATAAAAATTACCAAGTTGATATTTTCTAATCTTTTATCATCATATAATTTGTATAAAAAATTAATTTGATAATTTTTTAATCCTAATAAATTATAAGTAGCAAATTTTTTATTTTAATGGAAATATGCCCGCAAAGTATCACGTTTTTGCAAATAATTAGTTCATAATTTTATCAATAGTTGGCGATCTCTTCAAAATGCAGAGACGAATCTAATATTTTTTAGGCCTGCATCTTTTTGCTCATCTCCGTATCAAATTTTTTATTTTTTATAGTTTCAATAATCTCATTAATGTTAATATTACTTAATAATAATTTCTTTTTTATTATCATCGTATTGTTAATTTCTTTTTAAAATATATAGAAAAAAAATTACGTGGAAAAATAAAAATTACCGACAGTATCGTTAATTTTTTTTTCTTCTCTTTTTTTTTTAGATAGTCGTCATAAAAAAGATTGTTTTTTTCAATTAAAATAAAAAACAACGGAATAATAAAAAATATATGTATCAAATTTTCAAGCTTTTTATATTCTTTAAAATTTTAATTTTTATTTGATATTTTTTTTATATAAAAAATATTTTTACAATAAGACACAAACTCTAATCTAGAAAAAACAAAGAATCTACAAAACAAATATTCAATACTAATGAATAGTAAATAAGAAAACAAACATAAGATAACAGAATAATAATAATAATATATATCATATGATTATATAAAATTTATATTTGAAAATTGTATCAAAAATTCTATCATATATTTAAAAATAGCATAAACATATTTTACAAGAATATCTTACATGAACCAGTAAGCAGAAACAAGTTCCAATTTTATTATTGTCGTAGATAAAGATAAGTCAATTATAAAAAAAGATTCATTATAATAAAGTAATAAAGTAATTCAATATTAATCCTTTGGATTGACTTTTTTGGTAATACAACTGCTTGATATATGATGAATTTTGATGATAAAGTACAAACTATATTTCTCCTTTTGGAAACAAATCAATTTTTTTTAAATTAAGTAGAGAAATAATCATTATTGTACATTTAATACATTTACAAATTCTCACTATATGATAATAAATTTCTGCATACAATATTACATAATAATGCATTTGATAGATAATGGAAGATACATAAAAGAAAAATCATATTTTATTCATTCTAACAAGACCTTATCTAAAATCTTTTATTTCCTAATTATTCTTTAATCTCAACATTTCTTTTTCTCTATCTTTAATAGAATTTAATTAGAAGTATTTGGTATAATATTGCTGTATATATATATGTATGTATATATATATATATGTGTCAGAAAATATATAATTTTTGTTTAAAACAAATTATCTGGTTAACAAAATTTTTTTTCTTTCTAACGAATATCAAAATTATGATATAATATATCTACATTATCAACATTATACAGATGCCCTTATGACGCCAATATTTTGTAACGCTCCTGCACGTTTACGTTGTTATTACTCTCTGGTATCTTACATGTGTGTATATTAATGGCACATGATAGAGATTCCCTAACCTGTATAATGGAAAATGTCATTGGATATAAACAAAATATTTACTGCTATAATAAAATAATACAATAAGAAAATTTATGATTGAAGTCAAACCATTAAATAGAATCGGCTTAATTCAAAGGTATTATTGAATCGTTTACGATAGAGTTGTTTGTGTTAAACGATCATTTGAAATAGAAATATACTAAACCATTATTGTAGAAATAAATATTATAAACTTGGAATAATGACTAATTCGCCGTTTCTTTCTATCTCTCTCTCTTTCATCTAATGTGAATGTGATTATTTTTCAAAAGAACAGAAATATACAAAAGAAAGATCTATAGAAAGGAAGACTCGGCAAACTGGTGGGGGAGGGGGGTACCTCTATAATGCGCCATTAATGTACCCTGAATATACCTTTGCTATATCTGACAAAATTTTAGATACATATTTATTACTTAGGAGTGTTTCGATCAACACACTTGTCTCGAAGTAGTATCTCATTCTTAAAAATTTATATAAAATTCTAATTTTGTATTATTTTAACCTGGTTATAATGTAAGTTGTGTACAGATGTGTTGTGGCCACGTGATAGAAAAAGACTTCATATTATTGGTTGCGTAGTCACTAGTGGAATAATCATTTCCTGCGCATGTACGCTTCAGATTTTGCAACAAAGCGAAGTTTCTCAAGTTACGCGTTGATAGTATTTGTGGAATTAATTAATGAATTCTCACTATCAATATTTGAAAGGAATGCTACATAATGTATAAAATTATGAATATAGCGTAACAACGGTGCCTGTGGACTCTCGAATTCAGGTTAGTTTTAGTTAAAAAGTTTCGAGAATAAGTAACTTAACCTAATGTGTGTTGTCAATCGTATCTTATACGTATATAATTAGTTGGTAGATAACTTTTGTAATTTATTACTTATGACAGTAAAATCAATCGATTTATTTATTTTATATTATTTTTTTTCTTCAGATATTTGATAGTATCTCGTTTGAATAATTTTTGATACTTTAATTTACAGATTAACATTCCAGTATATGTTGGGGCGCATTTATTCACGATAGCTGTACATGCTTTTAAGCCCTACATCAAACAACACGACGCTACACCGGTGAGTTCCAACACAAAATATTGCTTGGTAGTACGGCGGACACTCAAAGCCAACTAACCATGTCTGTACAAAGTGTTGCTCTGGCATCTCTCACGGCCACCTATACCGACTCGGAGGGCGAAGACGGGGTGGAAGACGACCTTCAGGAGAATTCGAACACTCCCCAGGGGGCCGCCCCGCATAATGCCCAAGTCGGTCAGCCCCAGGCTCTCACCAGTCCCAAATCTGGCAGATCAGCCTCAAATAGTCCCAACGTTGCTTCCAGTGTTGGTGGCAAGTCTAATAGCAACTTGCCGAACGCGCCCACCTTAGTAACTGATGTAACATCGAAGGTGCAGAGATTGGTTTCATATTTTGATGATGCAATAGTTTCCGACGATGAAGGAGCTGTGCCGATGGTGGTTGAGGAACAGCCTTCAGAGAATGGAAGGCCTTCCTTGACTACCGAGCAGTCTCCCTCGTGTCAGGGAGAATTAGTTTCAGATGGAGAAACAGATCCTTATGGAGTTATAATACCACCTGAGCCGCCAGGTCAATGTCCACCGGAATTACAAGAAAAAATAACAAAACTTTTTAGGAAAATGGAGAGTGGCGGTTTAGATATGAATAAAGTCATACAACAAAGGAAAGACTTTAGAAATCCATCCATTTATGAAAAATTAATTCAGTTTTGTAGCATCAACGAACTGGGTACAAATTATCCTCCAGACAGATTTGATCCATTTAAATGGGGCAGGGATTCTTATTATGAGGAATTGGCCATGGTACAAAAAGCGGAAATGGACAAACTTGAAAGAGCTAGAAAGGAAAAAACAAAAATCGAAATAGTGTCAGGTACTGCAAAACGACCAAATAATTCTTCCAGTACAGCAGAAGAGGATGCTAAAAAGAGAAAAAGTAAGTGGGATCAAGTGGCAACTGGTGCCACTGTATCGGTAAAACCCACAGTTTTATTGTCTCAACCAACTTTGACCACATTAACGTCCTCTGCAACCGGTACGAAGGCAACTGTTATATCAGCTTTTGGTTCACTACCAAAGAAAAGACTGTAACATATCGTGTAAATTTATTGTAAATACTATTTGTTTAAAACAAATACTTTTCATGTGTTTTTTACATTTTTTGACTTAAATTCACATGTTTACAACTCGTAAAGTGTACATCGAGCGTATCTCGTTTTATTTTTCTTACATGTGATTATACAGTACATCAGCTTTGCGATATTATCTACTAATTTTTATTTCAGTTGCATGATATAAAAGCGTAAAAATTTGATCGGAATTCCTATAAATCTTTAGGATTTAATGCACGTTGAAACATTAGATGATATTGTTTTAACAATAAAGATTTATGTTTCTTTAATGATAAAAGTAGAAGAAGTCTGCGTTAAATAGTTGATATTGTATCTATCCTATAATCGGCCAAAACTTGCATCTGCGTTCAAATTGCACAACCAATAATAATACATTCTTGATTTTCAGTTTTTTACCAGGAGATATGCATAAATTATGTATATAAATATCACACAAAATCTGTATCTAAGCATCACATCAAAATATGAAGTGTGATCATAAGATGTTTTACATATGAACCTATATGCTTAGATGCATATCAAATATTCGAGGTTGTTAAATTGTAATATTGTGGTTCGTAGTATCAATGCAACAATAATATTAAGATAC